TTAGATGGGAAAGTTCTGAGAGTTATGGAATTTCTATGGTATTTCTTTGGAATTGGTGGGATTTGGTTGATGGATACTATGGGTTTTATGGAATTTGTATGGCATTCCGATGGATTTTGTGGTGGAATTGTGGTGGTTTGATGAGGATTCAGGATCAACTGGAAAATCATGCGGATGCACTGGAAATCATGGAGGACACATCATTTTTGTTCACATGCAGGAAGCGCGTTTCGTCTTTTTTTGGGGTGACTCCCATCATCAAGTCCAATGCGTTCAGGGGTTTAAATTCATGGTTCCTCCAACCTTTGGGGATTTCAATTCTACACAGGGCTTGCAGCTTGTCAAGAAAGAGCTGCCAAGGCAAGCCTTAAAGCCGGCTTTCGCCCCTATCACGTTGTGCAAGTAGTAACCCCTGTTTTCCCACGCCTTAATCCTTTGCACAATCTTGCTTGTTGCAAATGGTAATCATACGGCCAGGCGCTGTGTGTTGCCCGGAAGGTTCAAATGGCGTTTAAACATGTTCGCTGCAACCCTGACGTTGCGCCGCGTCTGACTTCTGGTGGCTATGAAGATAAAGTTGATGTTATTACCCCAAGTTCATAGGGGGTGGCAAATTTTGATCCCTCATGAAGATAAAGTTGATGTTATTACCCCAAACAATATATTGCTCAGAGGGGGTGGTGAATTTTAATGTGATGATGATTATGATGATGATGATGATGACGATGATGGTGATGATGATGATGATGATGGTGATGATGATGATGATGATGGTGATGATGTGATGATGGTGATGGTGTTGGTGATGGTGATGATGGTGATTATGATGATGATGATGATGATTTTGATGATGATGATGATGATGATTTTGATTTTGATGATGATGATGATGATGATGATGGTGATGGTGATGATAATGATGATGATGATGACGATGACGACGATTGTAAGCGTGGAGCAACGTCCGGGTTGGGGCGAACATGTTTCAACATGATCCTTTTACATTTTCAAGCATCTTCGCAGGGCCAGTGCTTTGAGATTTCCCAGACGACGAACCCTAAACCCTAAAACCCTAAAACCCTAAACCATCCTAAACCCTAAAACCCCAAACCCTAAAACCCCAAACCCTAAAACCCCAAACCCTAAAACCCCAAACCCTAAAACCCTAAACCCTAAAACCTAGGCTCTGAAAACTTTGAGAATCCTCAGCTGGAAAACACTGCGTATACGCAGTATTTTCTGCAATGTTTCCTATCATATATTCGACAACACGACATTCTCAATGTTAATGTCTGGGCAACACACGGCGTCTGTGGGTAATTATATGGTGGTATCTTAAGCCATGGAGGATCCCCACAACATTAGGTTTCTATATGGTTTCTTTACTAAAATGGTTTAATGACTTGGATGATTTGGGGGTACACCCGTTTCAGGAAGCCTCTCTCTCTATATAAATATAGAATTATATATGTAGATAGTACACTTAAAATTTATATATATATATATTGATAGATAGATGAAGATAAAAAGGTTGCCTAGGTTGCTTTTCCAGATTTGGGGAATGGAACAGTTGTTCGATGTTTTTGGTTTGAACATGTGGGACATGCAAAATGTGATGGAAATATACTTGAAGGACCTTCCCACGTAGTGCCTGGTGAGTCACCAAAACTTAGCCCGTTTGTTTATCTATTTGTATATCTATTTTATTGTTTCTTTTTTTATCTTATATATTATTTGATCGTATATCTTATCTTATATTTTATCTTAGATTTTATTACCTTAACTTATTTTATCCTATCTTATCCTATCTTATCCTATCTCATCCTATCTTATCCTATTTTATCCTATCTTACCCTATCTTACCCTATCGTACTATCTATCTGTTTGTCTGTTTGTCTGTCTATCTGTCTATCTATCTATCGATCGATCTATCTATCGATCTGTCCATCTGTCCATCTATCTATCTATCGATCGATCTATCTATCGATCTATCTATCTATCGATCTATCTATCTATCTATCTATCTATCTTATCATAACTTATCTTGAAAGGTTATCTCATTTTATCGTATCCAATCTTACCCATCTCTCTATTATGCATGAACATTAGAAACACCATTAGAAACACTATATGCATATATATATATATATTTAAGAAAAAACACTTGCCACTTGGGGGACTTACTAGAAGCCAGTACACCAGTTTCGTTCGCTGACCTGAAACACTTCTGAGTGGCGACCATCGGACAATCCCACCCCGCAATGGATTTCGCAAGACATATAGAGAAACCAACCGAACTGCCCCATATGTTTCCAATACTATGTGAACGTATCCACATTGTATGATATTAATTGTTGCTGAACCTCCTGCCATCCCAGTAGATTCCCATCAAATCCATCAAATTCCTGGGATGGCAGGAGAAATTCCAGGAAACCCTGAAATTACTGGTAAACAATTCCCTCAAACCAAGCCATTGACTTCAGAACCCCCTAGATTTTTGATATCCAGAATCTACTACATTTGTTTTTTAACAACAGTATAAATCCCAATGTTTAGTTTAGTTTGTTTATAGTTGTGTTTTTCCCTTTTCTGCTCTCCCACCAGCTGCTGCCCGTAGAATGTTGGTTGAACTAAGCTAGTTCACACTTAGTTCGAGATCCATACCTACCAATTTAATCTAACACCTCGTGGAGTTTTAAAGTCACCATATCACCGGTCACCATATCACCATAGCTATCATCAATTCAACAGTTCTTGGAGTTATAAATTCACCATATCACCATAGATATCATTAACAAACATACATCAATTTCATCATAAACTTCAACCCATTTTTGCAGTTCCTTACTGGTTGGTGGTGTGGATCATTTTTTATTTTCCATGTCACAAAAAGATGCTTATTGCACCACCAACCAGCATTTGTTCGATGGTTTGGAACCTCATTGTGTCAACCTTGATGGCTAAATCCACGATTTCTATGGCTAAATCCACGATTTCTATGGCTAAATCCACGATTTCTATGGCCATTTCCAATAGCAAACTGTAACAAATTACCGGAGGGTAAGACCTTGCAGACCTGTCGGGTACCGAGGTCTACGCCGCGGGCCGCGGCAAGGGGGACTTGGACGCCTTGGAGCAGCGCCGAGTGAAGCAGGAGCTGGCCGAGGACTTGGAGAGCCCTGGCGGATCGCATGACCTATGGTTATGATGGAAAATCTACTATAGATATCTATAGATGGTTAATGGGATTTATATTTATAGATGGCTAATCTACTTATTACAAGTGGAAAATCTACTATTGATGAATGGAAAATCTACTATAGATGGAAAATGGGATAGAACATGGACTTTTCATGGGATCTATAGATGGGATTCGAATATTTCTAATGGGATTTACCCTCCGGTAATTTGTTACATAGCTATTGAACATGTCCATTTAGTTCGGGGATTTGCCCATTAATAGCATTGTTATTTTCCATAGTTTTTTGGTATGTTTACCAGAGGGTAATGGTTATGATACTTAGCATATACATTTATATATCTGATTGGTGGTTTGGAACATGAATTTTATCACTTTCCATCTGTTGGGAATAATGATCCCAACTGACTTGCATATTTTTCAGAGGGGTTGAGACCACCAACTAGTAATATACATCTATATTTATATATGTTATACTTGACATATAATTAGAAAACACAAACAAAATACTAAATAATACTATATTATGGAGCAGTTATCAATTCACATGATATTTAGGAACAATTCTATTACTATATGATTATCACTGTGTTAGATAGAATTTACTATGTTATAACATGAGTTATAACTATAGTTTTTAACCAACATATATTATTTTGGGGGGCCACAGGCCACATGGAGGAACCAGTAGGATGGTGATTTATCCAAGGATACTGCGAAGCAGCAAAGATGGGGCGCAGGAAACGTGCTTTGAATTTTCCGTAAATAGTGAATACATATAGATCCCAGTTAATGAGTGAATATATAGTCAATATATAGTGAATTAGTGATATCAACCCATCATTATAGATATTGGTGATTTTATCACACTTGGGTTTTTGGTGGTGGGATTGAAAAAAACATCAATTTCCCTTAAATCCACTAAAGCGGCTTGCTTTAGGCAATCTGGATGTGGAAGGTCCCCCATAGCAACAATTTCTGGGCACAGCTGCTCCACATAGACAGCCAGTTGTATTCTCTACATCATATCAGTGTGGATATATCAAGGCAGCTTACCGAAATGTTAAGCTAAAGTACTGGCTGTAACTGAGACAATGATGAAGGTACCTTCCAGGGCATTCTAGGCGTTTTTAATCGTTTTTATCAGGAATTCCACTCGAGGCGTCTTCACAGTGGTTCCTTCAAGGTAAAATGAACCAAGCCCGTAGAAAAATGTTTGTTCCATTGAAAGTTAAGGTTTCATCTTTACATCGGAGTTTTTTTCTTAAGGAACCATGGTTTTTACATTGTGGGATGGTATCATTGGAGTCCTGCAGTCCTGGTATGTCCTGGTTCTCCTGAAA